AACAGAGCTGGAGATTCTGCAGGGCACTGAAGATATCATGAATATGGTCTATACTCAGCTAGCATATTCTTAACATGGCAGTATCAAAAAGCATTTTGAATGCATTTTCTGCATGTTGCTGTGGGTATCAGAGCAATGTTCCCTCTTACGTGGGTTCTGATTGTTCATTCAGATGTGTACCCAATGCATTTCAAATGCTACAGCAGTCACAGTCACACTGTGATATTTCTTGTACAGTTCATTCAAAGTTGCACATACACACAAACACACACTAATGCCTAACCTGAGCTGTCCCTGGTCTAAGTGGTCGTGACCTGTCCCACTCCCTCCCTCGCACTTGCACGGTTTTCAACAGTGTCTGCTGAAAAGAGTGACTGTGATCCTCACACTTTGCTCTGTTGTTTATTTCTCTCTGTTCGCCACTCCTCCACTCCTTCACACATTCTTCCTCTCACTCCAACTCCTGCTCAATCTTTTCTGTTGCTCCACACGCCTTTCCTCCCTGCTGCTTAAAACGTGTTTGATCTTGTGGTCATGCTCACTCCTCTGCTCGTGCTGCATCATATCCTACCTTACTTCACACTCTTCCTCCTCCTCCTCCTCCTCCTCCTACTCCTCATCCTCCTCCTCCTCCTCCTCCTACTCCTCATCCTCCTCTTCCTCCTCCTCCTTCTCCTTTCCTTCCTCAAAACTCGCTCTTTCCCTTTTCTCTTTTTCTCTTCCCATTCTGGAACACAACGGATGGATTACTCCTGTATTTCTTTCTCTGTCTCCACCTCTCTGTGGTTGTCTCTCACTTTCTCTCTTCATCTTTGTTACATTTATCTGCTATCTGCACCAACTACTCTTCTGCTATCCATTCCTCTTTCATATTCGTTCTTCCTCATTCTCTCTGTCTGTCTGTCTCACTTTCACTTCTCCTTCTTTGAACCTCTGACTATCTTTATGCCTCTCCTCTCTCCTCCCTTCTCCACCCGCTCTGGGCCCCTGCCTCCCCAGGCCGGGGCTCCTACCCCCCCAGACCTTTCTGCGAGACAGCAGTCCCCTCCTCCTGCTTCTCCCCTCTCGCGCTCTAACCTCTGCTCTCTTCTGTATTCTGCTCCCTCTGGCATGGCTGTAGTGTCAGGTAAGTTCTCCGCCTCTTCCTGAATGCAGCCCCCTCCCCTCACCCTCCTCCTGACCCTTTCTTCTCCCTGTTACACTGTGCACACCCTCCCTCACTTTCACTGACACACCCAGCCCTCCTCATTATCACCACAGTCATATTCATGCCCTTGCTTTAACTCAAGCCCCAGGCAGGTCAACAGGGAGGCCAGCTGCTTACAGCGTCCAGGTGGAGGCTCGCTGACAAAATGATCCAACACACAGAACTTAAGACACAGCTCTCAGCACAGAAAGCAAAACAATATTCACAACAACATACTGAATGGAGGCATAAAAGGGCAGTAAAATCTTGAGTGGTGGCAAAGTTTCTATTTTATGACATTGCATTCCCTAAAAGGGTTCAACACAATGTCACCAGATGAAAACACATTCCTATAAATGGCATTGATTTCAAATGTGCAGTGACACAATCCTTGAGGCATTTTTTAATGTATTAATCGACATATACAAATGTCAGTGGTACTGTGTTTGTGTGTATATGTGTGATGTAATCCATCACTATACCTATATCTGTTTGTTTTGTTCTTGCTAATACCTTTACTGCAAACTGTTGTAGTGTTGTTGGCCTAGCTGCTAATTTACAAGCCAACACACACAATTCAATGATGCTACTTGAAAAAGATTACTGTTCGTGGGTCCAGCATTTATCTCACTCCAGCCCAAGCACTGAAGTGCTTTTTTTTTTTCATTCATATATCAACAATGCAGGGCATCTCGCATCATTAATTTCAAATGAAGGCCCATTTGGTGGGAGAGTTTCATCTGACTAACCTCCTCCATCCAGCTCCTTGCATGGCTTTACGGATCGACTGTTCCATCCCCTTTTTCACTCATGGCAACAACATGACTCTGAACCAGGAGCTCCCTCCTCACTACCCTCTGGCTTCTGACCCAAAAATCAGAAAAACAAGTCTTCACACACATACACGCACGCGCTCTCAGACACATGCAGTTTACCAGCCATCCCTCCCATCCGCCTTGACACTACCACCTCCACAGCATCACCCATCTCTCTCACACAAACACACACACACACACACGCACCATCCTTTGCCTTCCCCCACCCCCACCCCCCACCCCCACCCCGCTTCGCAGAGGCCCCTGCCTGCCCTGGCTGCACTCCTGGCTCACTGGCACCGCCCTGCTGGATGGAAGAGGCAATGAACAGGCTAAGCAAGAGCGATCTTCCGCAGCTTTTCTCTGTGTCTCTTAGTTTCAAAACCACCTCTTCTCTGCTCACCACCCTGCACTTTTATGGCTTTGGTTTAGTTATTTTTCTTTTCTCCCAGTGATGGCTGTTAACTCTGACCTCAAACACTCAGAGTTTATCTCTAGTATTTGTGGTAGTATGTTTGTAGACTCTGTGTCCCATGTCTTGTCTTGTGACATTTGGTCTTGAATACATGTAGCTAGTTCTACCGCCATGTTCATCGTCCAGCTGCTCATTTTTGTGCAGAACGTAAACAAATCCAGTTTTGTAGAGTAGCGCCACCCATTCTCCCAGCCGTGAGACCCATACAGCCGTTGAGTGTTTGAGGTTATGGCTGAAACATGAATAAAAATTCCAGCATGAACCTGGGTGTGAGTGAGTACGAAAGCTGCATTCGACCATTCGTGTGTTTGTGTGCATGGATAGGAGTGTGTGCATGGGAATGCGTGGATTTGTGGCGCCTTTTACTTGGTCACTAATGTTCACACTCCTCCTCTTTCCCTCCCTCTTTCACTGTCTTTGTATCCCTGCAGCACTCGTAAACAAAACTACATGATGAACTTTGCCAGACAGACCGGCGTGCGTCACTACTACAGCCGCAAGAGGCGGGCACTGCAACAGCGTGCCTGAACCTACCAAGAAGGGATTTGCCCTCTGACTTGCCAATCACACATCGACCCGCCACGCTCATCCTTTTTCTCCTGACGACATATCGCCCTGTTGAGTCCCATCCATCAGTGGATTCCAGTCAGCCTTAGACTTCTCTCACCCACCTCTCCCTACCCTCTACCACAAACATGGGCCATCCAATCAGTTTACGCAAGCCGATCAAGGCCTTCCCAACTACACGGGTCGGCGGGAATGAAACTCAGAAGAAAGGAGTGAAGCGGCCATTTTGTTTACTTTTTTCATGGACGGTCGGGGTTTCTAGTTGTTTTCTAATTGTTGCTGTGGTTCCTCTGATTCCTGTTACCACCTCCAATAACCTTCCCTCTGGCTTACCTCCCCATCACACCCGCTTCCCTCTCCTCATCCTCCTTTTCCTACCACACTGTGAAATTGAGAGATAATATATCACTGCTGAACTGACCAGCCGATTGGAGAGTTGCCTCCCAGTTCCACTGAGCCGTCGAGGGAGGACCACTCCACTGCCGCCAACCAGTACGCCAGGAGAAAGACCACGACGATGATACTGACCATTAAGAGGAATAGCGGTGATGAAGAAGCTCAAAAAAGAAAAAAAAAAAAGAAAAAAAGAGTACTGTGTTCTTGCTGTTCTGTGTGTCTGTGGGTTCTTTTTGTGATGAGTTGACTGTGGTGTTCTGTTCATTTGTTTGTTCGTTTTCTACTAATTCATATGCTTTTAAGGGAGGGAGGGGAGGGGGTGCTGGGTTCTGTTTCCTTTTTCCTCGTTTATCTGGAACAGATGTGGGCAAGGCGGGAAAAAGCCCAGCCTTTGCGGGAAGAAGGAATGAAAGAACGATTTGCACGACGGGGAAAGGAGAAAATAAGAAAAAATTAAAGACTGAACAACTGATTTTTGTTTTTTTTTAAATGATTTTTTATATATGTTGGTTCCCGAAAATACAGATATTTATGGTAAATGGTTCTTCACGTAACCTATTTAAGATGCACTGTGCGTGAAATCTGTATGTTATTTTCTAGTGTTAAGTTATTAGGCGGTCGAGTCAAGCTCTCAGACTGCATCATCTCCCCTCTTCCTTCTCTTCCCTCTTCTCTTGTGCTGTTTCCCCCCTTTCCATCTCTCTCTCTGCTGATTTCTGAAACCTGGAGGTGAGGCTCTATTAGTGTTGTTTTTTGAAGTCTGTGTAATATGGACCCTCTGCCCTCAGTGTAACTCCAGTATAGCAATCTCCTGTATATATATGTATATCCACTATGGGGAGACCCAGCAGCCTTATAAAAGGGAAATAAAGAACTGTCCAAACCTCAAACTGTACACATTGCTTGAGCTGCTCTCTTTCACTCTTAAAAGATAAACCTTTCATTTGTTTCTTTACTTTTTACTGTCTGTGGCACTCAGCCCTAAGCCATATAAAAAGATATTAGATGCTCCAATGAATATTTACAGCAGCAGAATGGTGTATGTGGGATTGTCTCAAAATAAACTACAGTGTCCATTGGGATGAAGGAATATGTCACCCGGTGCAACAGTGTGGCACACTGATGTATTTTTGGACAACAATTGAGCTCTATGGCACAGAGGAATAAGTTATATCTGCATATGGAAACACAAACAATCCCTTAATTGTTATTAACAATATCATAAAATTATTCAGTGTTTTATTTACAGACATTAAAATATAAAACATTAAAACACAAAACTGATTTTTGTTACTTAGTTTTGTAAAAGCACACACACACACACACACACACACACACACACACACACACACACACACACGTTTTAAAATCAGTTAAAAATCCTCACTATGGTGCACACCTCAGTGTCTTCAGACTGGGCATACACCATATACTTCTGCAGACCCTCTGCATTACACAATACGGAGGCTGCAGAGATGCCAGAGCACTGCTCACTTGGGGTTGAAAGCTTCCCCCTTGACATGAATCCCTAAAAGATGCTCACAACATCAGAAGCCTTTAGTCACAAGCTGTCGGCCATCACAGCTACAGTCACAAGTGTTACAATGGTGTAGAGGGCTTTGGCTGTGATGCCCAGGCAGGAGTTACAGTATGGCCGATCACAGCAGCCAAAGCTCATGATGTAGACAGTTCCCTTGAGGCGGATGTTCTTCACCAGGCTGCAGTCCTTCTCCAACATGCATCCCCTGGCCGACAGGGCACTGTGGTTTCCATAGCGGCCATTTGCCTTGAAGCACAGCTCGTGAGGGGGACACTCTGTCACAATGAGCTTAAATGTCTTCTCATTCTCCAGGAGGGGGCTGTAGTAGCAACGCAGGTTGTAACATAGCACCAAGGGGAGGAGAAGGTAGAACCACAACACAGCAACACGCAGGAATGGCAATGTGTTCGGCCTGCAAGTTGAAGAGAGTAATTTGGTATTTTACTGGCACGACCTAATATTGTGGCTATAAAACAAAATAAGTAAAAAAACATTTTAACAATTTAGTACAGCTGTTCTATAAAGTTAGGGCACTTAAAAATAATGGATCCTACACTTCCCATAACTCAACTTAACTTAATTTAGACCCTTTTCTGCCAAGTAAATGCTCATATTTTCAAATTCCACTTCCCCAATTTGTACCACATGTTAAACATTCGTGGTCTCAGAGCCAAGTTAAAATCACATTCCTCATGTAATAATCATAGACAAATCTCCTTCAGAGTCACAAAAGAACTGTTTTCATAGGCTTTGTAGTACTCCATGGGACTTTGACATATAAAGTCAGTTTTTATCACTTGTCATCCCTGTTTTGTGTTTCTTCTATTTAGACCATCACTGAAACCAAAGAAATTCAAGTTAATTGATCAAACTTTCTTAGCCTTGATTCCTATGCACAGGTGTAAATGATCCCTACTGATAGTCACATTCAAAGTGTTCAAAGGTGCATAGGCAGATAGTGAGGGCTGAAACAATTTCAGTGTGCAACTTAAAAAAAATAAATTATGTAGACTCACCTGTTCATTTTAAAGATTTAAAAATAGAAATAAAAAAATCAGACTGGTAAAACATTTGAGAGCTTCTCCTGATGAGCTCTAACCTCACTACTGACTCCAGATCTTCCTGCATAGGCCACACCCTCACGCACACCTGCTTGTAAAGAACAGAACAACTACACCAAGTGGGATCTTAATCATGGTGCTTTTATTTTGCTGAATTCATCAGTAACCACATAAATAATGCATTTACTCTTGTATACCAGGAGGGTGGCTGACAAGTCCACCTTTTTTCTCTCCAGAGCAAAATACTGATCATGATGCATTTTTTTGTAAAATACTAATAATCACAAACATGTAAATGTGTGGCCACCTTGTGGAGACTAATGTAAGTACCTATGGCTAACAGGCCTCTCCCCAGCCTTCTACAAGCACTTCTATGACACAGTGGTAGGTGACATGGAGCTCCTTAATGTTGTGTAATTTGCACATGAATCCCAAGGCTCCTCTCTAAGAACATTAGTGATGTTAGTGAAATTTGTTTTGTCTGTGATCATGCCCAGTAGCATCTTAATGTTGGAGTCAGACTTTGGCAGGAAGTTGCATTGGTCTTTGCAGCAGCAGGTGTGGGTGACATTGTACTTGACCCCCCGATAAGAGATGCTTTCATGGAAGCCACAGAGTTCAGTGTCCACGCAACCCTGAGCAGACAGGATGTGGATGGAGCCGTAGCGACCTCTGGAGTTGGAGCAGCGCTGATCAGGCAGGCACTGGCTTGTGATGTTGGGGCAGGACTTGCCTTTGTGCTGCAGAGGACAGTAGTAACACATCAGGCTGTCTAGGCTCAAAGCAGGGAGGACCAGAGCTGTGGCCAACAGGATGGAGGTCAGGAACCAGCGTGGTCCCAACAGATGGACATCCAAACTAATGTAAACCCACACACAGAGTTAAAAAGAAATGAGACTAGAAACGTAATTACATATAATTGATTAATTATGGGTTTCAACTGTAGGTGTGTTGTTCACCTGCTTGTTCTTGGTGATCCCATCTTCCTGTACTGTAAAAGGCCCCTGAACAAGTGATGTTATGTCAACCTGAGGAACCTCCAAACACCAGCAAACCCCCTGATTACCAAGCAGAAACAGGTGTGTCTTTGAAACTCTTTCAGCTTAACTGATAAATAATTTTAAAGATACACACACACACACGCACACAAAACAAATAGCTTTTAAATTAGATTTTAGCTTTCAGTTTATTGCCCAAAAAATAACACCTTATCCCCCTGCCATTTTGGAAAATATATATAAAAGACAAGATTACAGTGCCATCTGCTGTTCTGCGTAGAGGGAGTAAATGGTAATTGAATGATTGGATGTGGCGCTAATAAGTCTATATTTGAATAGCATCTGCAATACAAAAAACTAAAGGAAGTTTTCTTCCTCTAATCAGGCATGTTGTTCTTTCTTTCTTGATTTTCTGCTCATATCCCACAGTCAGATGAAATGGAAAGCCTTCCCTCCTTGTACAAAGGTTCCTATAAAGAAAAACAAATTCTGTGTAAATTCATTACCATCCCATATATAAGACAGAAAATGGAGGATTATTTTATATAATTATTAAAAATTTTAGTGGTGTGCTCACAGCCAGCTCCTCCTCATTCTCCTTGCCAGAGTTCCCCCAGTCGTCTTGTTCCTCCGCCGGGTCATAGCTGTACAGAGGAATCAGCCTGTGGCGCAGCTCGTCTAATCTAAAGCAAAACACACAAATTAAACTTAATTGTGACAGAACAGAACATAACACGAGATACCAAAATGATGTGAAAGTGATGCTTTACAGAAACCATCTTACCTTGATCTCCTCCTGATATAAATAACCTGAAGAAAAGCACAACAATAAAAACTAAAAAGATAAACCTATGATGCAGTCATGTGAAATTAACTATGCAGAACTTTTCTTACCATTGCCACTACACATCCAATCAAAGTAAGTAGTACAAAGGGGATGAGTGCATAGTAACCAGGAAATCCAGGTTTGGGGTTTGTGGGTGAAATATGTGGAGTTGTGTGGTTGAAATGCATTTCTTTCTGCTCGATGTCCTCCCTCATACAACCCTCTGCTCTCCGTGCACCTCAGCTGACACCTTTGTGACACATTCAGTGGAGTGCCGTTGCTGTCATTCCCACTGAAAGCCCCAGGAAGACTCATAATTATTGCTATAGAGAGTCAAACAGACACAGCTACAGTTTACTGAGAGATTTACAATCCAATAATCAACATGTAGAAAACAACTAGTGTCCTAAATGAACTGACTAGGAAGTTGATGATAATACAAAGGACGCCTACTGTAAAGTCCAAACATTTCCTCACCTAAAAAAACCCCAAAGTAATTCAATCTTACCTCATGTGTCATATGTAGAGTATGTGAACACACATTTCCTTCTTGCTGCTTACATTTCCCTTCAGCACTGTGCTCATGTACCTCAACCTGCTATATGACATTCCTGACTGAGGAGTGGATGTGATGTCATTTGAAACTGGACAGATGTGTTTATTATAGGAGGCTGTCATGTTTACATTTAAAAAAAAAAAAAAAAAAACAACAAAGAGATAAATTACTGATTCCTAAAAGTTTTACTGTGGGAATAATTACTGCACAATGTTATATTGTGTTAATTGCATTAATAAGGGTATCATCAACAATAAAAAATAAACTCTTAATGCATCTGCATTGTTTTGTATATTTGTTTGTTGGAACTAACTTATCTTTACAACCACAATATACATACACACGTAATGTTCTCTGTCCTCCAGCAGAGGGAGAGTTGTTATGGGCTGCAGGAGGAAGAAGAGGGGAGGGACACTGGCAGGAAACAGATAGGAAGCTTTCCAAATGTTTTACTGGTCTAACTTGCTTAGCATGGCTTAGTGAAGCATTCACCTTGTCTACACAGGATGGAAGCTTTGACGGTAAGTTGCCAACAAAAGAGCTCAGAGTACTTTGACTTTGAACTAAGATTAAGTTTGTTAATTGCAGCTAATCTAAAATGGTAAACTTTGAATATGCTTATAGTAAATGTCTGCTTTTCTACTGAAAAATACAGTATCAGTCTGTGTTCTAGTAGATTAGAGTTTTGACAGTGTATTAATGAGCTCAGGTTAAGCACAATTAAAATTAAAGTTACATGGTATGATGTATAATGTAATGATAGTGGTGGTATTAAAGACTTTTGTATTGTTTCACTTTACACAAGTGTGCAAAAGTATTTTCATTTGTGAAGTGGCGCGGACTGTTAGATTTCCTGTTAAGATTTGAAAGCTAGTTAATTATTAGACCAACGTAAACCCTCAGGTTCAGTTAGACTCAGTCATAAAAGTGCCTACTTGTCCTGCCTGCAATCTTATACACTATTGTAACTCAGTCTTTTTTTGTCATAATGTCACATAGTTCTGCATTCTTCCATGATATGAACTGAGGACATGCTGAGATATCGCACCATCTAAAATGTGATGGATCCTCCTCAAAGGCAAAGTGGAACAATCCAGAGACAAGACGCAAGTGTTTCAGATGCCCCCAAACCTCTTACTGAGGATTTACATGAAACACACACTTACGACTACCTTGACATCTTTCCTGAAGATAATGTGGAACCTATATATGAGAGCACCTTGGATGGGCTCATAGCCCCACCTAACTCCCAACCCAAACCGCCGGACCAGCCATGGGGTCATGGAAGAGTAGATCCTGGGAATACACACCACCAAAGCGCAAATGGGCCTCCCCTTCCACTCCGTAACAGGCTATCTAGTTGTCCTATCGCATGTTTGCCAGGTAGACGAGAACCCCCTCCTGTTCCCCCCAGGACACGAGCACCCCTCAGCAAAAAGATGTTTTCCTTCGACCACAGTGAGCCTGTTGAAAAACTGATCCGTTCTAGGACAGAAGCAGATAATCATGTGAGTATCTCTAGTGGTTTCTCCTTCCGCAAAGACAAAGAGCTCTTATGATTCATTAAAAATACCAGAATAACCCAGATTTCTTTTTTCTTTCACATCAGGACCCATGGACCATCAAACTAATAGACACTCCTCAAGGCAGCACCAAGAGTCTGGCTTTGTTTTGTGCTGCAACTTCCAAGTAAGAAGAGTAAAGTTTTGTCTTAAATATCCACCCTTATGACACCTTAACTCTCAAAATGACAAACAAAAACAGATGCAGGTTCAGGTTACTTTATTTGTACCCATAGGTAGAGACAAGGCATTCCTCTGGATAACATATTTTACTAACAACTCAGACAATAGAGAAACATAATATAACACAATAAAGTGCTCCAGGATCTAAAAATGTGGTAAATATCATAGCATTCATTTTGTAATCAGTGTAGCTTTTAATTATGGGATTGTATAGTTGTATTTTATTTTCTTAACAGAAACTAAATGATTTCTGCTCTGTTGTTAAGTTCAACATTGTTTTTTTTACCATTTGAGAACTGAAATGAATCATGTTTTTTTCATATGAAGTTTAAATATAGAACATGTTTGTCAGCATAGTTTCACTTTCACACTAGCAACCCCTTTTTTTCCTTCTGTCTGGCAGGTTAATGTCAAGGTATAAGCACACAGACAGCGTTCATAACTCGGGTATGGTATGCGGTCGATTGTTATACATCCACCCTGCCCTGCTGCAGCAGGTGGAGGTAAATGTCACTGTGGCCACTGACTGGGACGATCACCAGATCCCTTTCCCCACCACAGGTAAGTGGAGTAAAAAGTAGATTTATAAATGAGCAGTACCAGTACCTCAAAATTGTACTTGTACTTGAGTTTACTTATTGATATACCACCTCTGCATAGTTGTTCTGCACTACAGTACTTGATGCCACTTGACACTTGACACTTGAATTTACACAATTCTTCTGTCACTGCACATGTTGGCAGAAGTGTGTGGACTCTGAACTCTAATCTTTTATCCAGTGAACAAGACAGTGAAGAGTCTGATTGATGAACTCTTCCAGCTGCTGGATGTCACTCCCAGAACAAGTGGGCAGTATGTTTTGAAACTGTGTGATTCTGAGGAATATCTCCAAAAGTAAGTGAACAATCCAGAAATTATTGTTTATCCGTTAACTGTGAGCTTTTTGTCTGTGATCTGCTATTTAAACATGGTGTGTGTGTTTCCACATTCATTGTTCGAAGCACCAAATGGAATTTCCCATATCTCTCCTTTAGTGAAGCACTGCTGGGTATGCATGAGACTATTCAGAAGTACATCAAGTTTAAACTAAAAGTGCCCCTCCGACTGCTCCACTTGAACAACGTCAAACACCGTCTGGTTAGGGATGTAAGTCAATTAAAACTCCTTCTCTGTTCCCACCTACAGGGTTACAGGGTTGCCTGTCTTCAGTCTTGAAATGCTTCTTTCTTAAACACCTGTGCTTGGCTCCCGGCCAGCGTGTTATCATCAGGGCTGTAAAAACCTCCACCCTGACTTCTTGACTTTGTTCTGTTTACACATCACGTCATGGCAGGCGGCTTTTAGCAGTAAGAATTAAATAGAATAAAGGTGAAGCTAATGTGTCCATACATTTATAGTCATAAAAAGCCAATTAATGCCATTTAAAGATTTGACATGCTTTATTTATATATATATATATATATGTCTATATGAGATTATATATTTATTCAGGAATAGTACATAATAAATCTTACACGACAATCAGTATTTTAAACCATGTTTTGTTCTCTTAGGGGGAAGATGACAAACCCTCATGCCAACTGTTCCAGCTCCTGCGCCCTGGCTGTGTCTTCAACACCTGCAAGTAAGATGCCGGGCAGTCCCACATCAGCTTTGTGAAATGGGTTCAATAACAACTGTTCAGTGGGTCATGTGTCAACTGATGTCTGTTTGTAGAAAACATTCAGAAAGGTAGCTTTGCTTTGATGTTTCCTACCACTTTGTGATCTGTTGCATGTTTAACCTTTCCTCCTCTCTCAGGTTTAGTCTGCAGGAGGTGTTCAGAAGCTACAGCAGAGAGGTGACAGATCTGATGAGATGTAAGGTCAGTAAAGTCAGGATAACATATTTCTCTCACACACATATCCATCAGCATTTGTTATTCTTTGCATTTGTTTTAAACCTATATAATGTGGGCTTTACCACCTCAGGCTAATTCAGATTTATCAGTGGGAGTGATGTATCCTAAGCTAACGTTCTGGTATTTCTCTTACTTGGATCTGATCTCATCGTGTCTGTAGTCTGGGATGAACGTTAATGTGCTCGTGGGCTGTGTTCGCACCATCAGCAATCTTCTGTGTGGGCTCTCGTGTCAGGAGTTGGAGGACACTATTGGCAGGCTCAACCGTATAATTCCCATACCTCTGGTAGGTCTTTTGCGAAAAATTCTACAGGTCAATCCTACCACTTTTCCCATCTGCCGAGTTATTGAACACTGCTGTGCACCAAATAAATGTGAAATGTTTCTTTGAGCCTCTGATCAACAGTACAATGCTGTTTCCTTCCTTTTTTTTGCAGAGTCATGATGAGATGTCTGAGTGTGAAACTGGTGAGAAGCTGTTACTCAACTATAATGCCATTGTTGTGGTTTGTAATCAACACAGGGACATTGCGGTATACGGTCAAAGTCTTAACCTCTATTATTAAGCAGTATAAATGGTTTATAACACACTATTATGTAGTTGTAAGCATATATAAGTGTTATATATTTGTCACCAACTATAACTCCTCCTGTGGACCCACTAATACGTGGAGGCAAATGTATAAACAGATAATGAGTGATAATATATTAAAACACATTTGTATAATAATAATAATAATAATAATAATAATAATAATATAAAATATATTTTCATAGGAAAACAGGAAACGTAGGCATTGTTCACAAATACCTTAGATTAATAAACTCTTTAAAATGTGCTTATAACTGCATTGTTTTAAACCATTTATTAAATATTTGTACACTGCTTATAAATGCTAAATAGGAGGATTTTAAAGTGAAGTGTTACCTGATTTTATATATTGACTTTTAAATTGTCTAAACTGATATTTATTCTCTGTATTCTAGCCATGATCATGCTCCATGGCGCACTGCAGAAAGTGCTGCAGATCTTTTTTGACAACTTCCATTCAGACTTCAGAGGCGAGGAGGTAACCAGAACCCCACAAATACATGACGTGGATGATAACTCTGAAATCTTACAGTTTAGTATCGCTGCTCTCTACAAACTGCAACTCTCTTGGATGACCGGGTATGTGTGCATTTGCAGTCGCAGAAAGACACACAGACATTTTTGTGCACGCATGTACAGACCCAAATACATGCTCACAAATACAAATTAACTACATCCCTGTTAAGAACGCTTGGTTTTATGGCTTTCTCTTTTCACTCCATTTTTAGTTATGAGTTCTTCTCTGTTTCCTGTGAGTTGACGTATGGAGGAACAAAGATCTGTGACACTGGTATTTCTGAGAACATCAGCACGGCCTTATCGTTCGGAAACAAGATCCAGTGTAACCGTATGTAAGTGTCTCCAAGTGTAAATGTTTTTTTTAGCATAATCAATCTTGTTCACATAAGAATTCCATTGTCACTGATAAGGAAGTGGAAGTGGATCTTACTGTCCTTGTGGTGAAGTGCCCATCTGATCCAGGCTCTTTTTGTACTGGTCTGTTGTGTCATAAGTGTGTGTGAGAAATAGTTTATATCACTTCATTTTGATACAGATTTAAAGCAATAGTAGGAAAAATATAAAAAAAAAATTAAGAACAAAGAGCAAAGTAAAATATTTGAGTGATAACATAAATAGATGGCTGACATTTGTTTTCACTGTATGTTTTTTTTTTTTTTTGTAGGATGGTGTTCCCTGTTCCAGTAAATCAGCTGCCATATGAGACCATGATGACATTTCGCCTCAAGGGCTCCAAGCGTGGCAAGAATGCCGAGCTTTTAGGCTGGGCTGTACTACCTCTTTACAGCAACCAGTAGGTGCTCTACAATGTTAACCCCATCTCGTAAAGTACATATATTAAGACTTTTGTATTGGTTTAAAATTCAAACTTCACATACCACTTAATGCTAATAAAGGATGAAGCTGGAGGGGTTTGATTCCTGAGCTCTTAGGCACAATTGTGAAATAGGTAACATGCAGTATTTGAACTGTGTGTCTAGGACTCTGGTGAATGGGACCGTTCTGCTCAGTATGTCCACACTGGCTGAGCTTGCTGCTCCTCCCTCTCCTGCCCTGTTTGACAGTCACAGACAGCCCATCGGGGTCATACTGCAGGTCAGAAGTGCTGGACAACTCTGCCCTCTGTTGACCAAAACAAAAACCACACCACATTACCTGTTCAAACATTCATCCTCCCTTTGTTCCCCAGCTCCAGTTTCAGGATCATTTTGAGTGGAAGTATCAGAGACCCATCGCACTGCCGGGTTCAGTCATATTTACTCATCCTTGTGAGGATTTGCAAAAAAAAATGCTGGATGTCTCTAGGAAGCACTGCCTCTGCTTGTGAGTAGAGTACACATTATATTATTACATTTATTTTTAGACATTTCTTACTATCCCTAAATACATTCCTGTCATTGTATCTCCTTCCCCAGTCTAACACAAAATGAGAAGGCTTTCCTCTGGAGTAAGCGTTACTGTAGTGAGAAAGCTAGTACTTTCCTCCACCTCCTGGTGGGTGCAGTCCCCCGGTGGCAGCCTGAAGACTTGACAGAAATCTACACAATTGTAGAGAACTGGCCCATCCATCTACCTGAAGAGGCCCTCTTCCTGCTCAGTGACAGGTAGGTTACACCTGGCTTAATTACGGAAATGTGGACACAGCAAAGCTGCCTGGACCAATAAAAGAAGATAACATTCAGAACATGGAGAAAGGCTTGTTTTATTGCTGTTTGTTTGTGTTTCGCTTCATAGCTACAGTACGTCCTGCAGTGGGGGAGGTGAAAGTAGTAATACCACAGAGTAAAAATACTCTATTACAAATAGAAGTCCTACATTTAAAATCTTAGTATAAGCATCAAAATTACTTGAAGTACCCAAAAAGTTATGCAAAATGGCTAATTTCAGAATCATATTTATATCACTGGATTACAATTAATGATGCATTAATGTATGTAATTAGTTTGACTAATGTTGCACTTGATAAAAGGTGGCTAATTTCAGCTACTTTATATACGGCTGGGTAGCTTAATCCATAATAATATCATAATGTATGAGCTGATTGATATTTTGTATTAACTGAATCTACAAATTCTAATCAGTAAAGCTGTCAAATAAAAAAACAAAGTACGAGTACCTTAAAAATGTACTGTACTTAAGTCCAGTACTTGAGTAAATGTACTTTCCCCGTGTACAGCAGTATGTGGTTTGGTTGCTCTTTTATATGCTCCCTGATTTCCATATGTTGGTCATAAGCTCAGTTTCTGCAGTACTATATGCAGTATGGTAGTTAGTTTCTCTCTGGCTGTGTCTGTCCTTCGCTGACAAATAAAAGAAAAATAACTAGCCAAACTCACTGAAAAGGTGTTCAGTTTTCAGAGAAGGTGCACACTTTTGTGTTTATGTAGCACTTAAGCTACTCATCAAACACTCAAGTACTTGTAATAGGTGAATTTAAACACTCTCATCAATCTATTAGTTCTTTAGTAGGAGAGGTACGTCTCATGTTATTAATTTAATGTGTCTTTATTGGGACAGTGAATGCAATATCTGTGATCACAACCATGATTCAGCTTTCCATTAGTCTTGTTTGGTGAATTTATATATTCTTTTCAGTGTTCATGATCAGACTGTGCGGAGGGCTGCAGTTCACTACTTTGAACAGATACCAGATGGAGAGCTAGATTTGTTTCTGCCACAGTTGGTCCAGGTAAGCACAATAACACATATACACACATCCTGTATCTGTCTTTAGAGCTTATTATTTTAGCACAAGACCAGGTCAATGTTTAGTTGGTTTAAGCCATCGGATTTTAAATATGAGAATGGGTGGCACACTAGAGATCTAGAGATTCCTCAGTGGTTTGACGTTAGTTTGATCAGTTATCCGGTCCTGCAGGCTCTGAAGAGTGAGTGGGAGTTGGATGGACCTCTGGTGATGCTGCTGTTGGAGAGATCACTGAAGAACATTCAGATTGCCCAGCAACTCTACTGGTGAGCAGCAAAGTCATACATCAAACTGAGGGAATGTCATTTTGGATTACTACTAACACTGCTGTTGTTTAATCCACTTGAAAATGTTGATAACATAATGACAAAAGAAAATCTCAGTCAAGTTATGCCAGTTATGAAGTTTTAGAGATGATGTAATCCCCAGTAATATTATAAGGGGAATTAATATATCATCAATTATTACTGTTGTACATGCTGACAGGCTGCTGGAGGATGCCCACACTGACCCCTACTACCAGAGCTGGTTCAGTAAGGTTCAGGCTGCACTGCGGCACTGTTGCGGCAAGGCACTGAGGCAGGAGCTGGAACATGAAACCCGCCTGGTGTCTGTGCTTGTACACGTGGCGGAGAAGGTTCGCACTGCTGAAAAGACTCGACGCAAGGTCTGTAAACAGATCTCTCATTTATTCATTTACTCACCCACTCAATGGCTCAATATCTCCACCTCCATTGTTATGACTTATTTACTGAACTTATTTAGTTAGTTATTTCATTTTATGCATCGGTCTGCAGAATGTTTTGATGAAAGAAAAGCAGAAGATTGATGACTTCTTCAGAAATGGGATCAGCTGTTGTCTGCCACTGGATCCTGCAGTCCGTGTAAAGGCATTGGACGTGGATGTAAGAACTCAACACATTACAAATTTAAGGTCATAGTAAATAAAGTTGTCAGCACTGGCAAATAAGTATATAAGTTACCTATAATATTTTTAGCAGAAGAAAATCGACATGATTTCAGCCCTAGGCTTTTTGGGGTCAACACCCATCAGACTGTAAAGACATTAAAATTGAGCATGCCAGGTCTTATATTTGACCGGTTATATCATTACTGTAATCTAATATGCACACAGTTCTATAGCAGGAGTATTAAATGCTTTTGACATGTTACTTACAGGCCTGTAAGTTCTACAACTCCAATGCTGCTCCTCTGGGGATCTCATTCATCTGCACTGACCCTCTGGCCAACAATGTCAGTGTCATCTGCAAGGTTGGTAATAATATGTTTTTTTTTACTGATCCAGAAAACATCATCTGATCAATGTCCATATATTCCTATCCTAAACTTCTTATTTTTTCTTGGAGATTTTCACTTGTCACAAATCACTTGTTCAAGTCTGATGTATATCACCCGTTCATGAGGGAGTGCACATGTGTGAAGCTTCATCATTAGCGCAATCAATGCTCCTAAAATGGTCATATAAAACTACCTGTCTTAAGAAAAGAAAGTGTTAGTAGTTGTATTAGAAAATATTAATACTTAAGCTGCCAAAAGATGTTATCAGAGGAGTGCCTAATGTGAAAGGGAGAGTGGGTTGACATTAAGTTGGATGGTAAATGCTTTTCTTAATCAAAGGGATCCATGACTAATATGAAAGGCGTTCATGTGGCAATCACTGAGATATTAGAAGGGATAATATTATAGCATACAGTTGGGGATGTTGCACTGTACGCTGCAACAGAAGATGAAAAGCTGCTTTGCCAAAATATGCAAAATGAGCAATTCTCACAGCTACCATTTTTCTTAAATCATCAGAATGCATCTGTTCGTACGAGTATGTCTCGCATGAGGCCCATTGTCTTTTTTCTTGTCTCCTTAGAGGGGAAATCAAAGCTTGTGGTCAGTTACAGAGCAGCTTGCACAAACAGCTCAACATGAAGAGGATACTTTTGAGATGGCACTTAGGCTGTCTTGCTGAGTCAGCTGTTTCATTCCTCAGTTAAATGTGTTGTTCAGACAGGAGATAACCTGCGTCAGGACATGCTGGTACTTCAGATAGTCCGTGTGATGGACAGGATTTGGCTCCAGGAGGGGCTGGACCTCCGAATGATCACCTACAGGTGTCTTTCTACGGGACGAGCTCAAGGTAAGTTTATTAGTTTGTGTTTTTAAATGCACATTAATAGTTTCTCCGTCTTATATCTATGTGGCTGTGAATCCATGTTTTCCAACATATATTCTATGTATTTGTCAGGCCTGGTGGAGGTGGTTCCAGAGGCAGTGACCCTTGGGACGATTCAGCAGGAGTGGGGTCTGGGTGGCACCCTTCGAAAAGACACACTAGAGAAATGGTTCCACATGTGGAACAAAACTAAGGAGGACTATGAGGAGGTTAAGACCACTACAAAATCTTTGATAACCATTATACTTGACCGTGCAATTGAATATTCACTTTTGCTTTTGTTAAACTCTCTCTTACTGTGCATGTGCAGGCTGTGATGAACTTCATCCACTCGTGTGCAGGGTGGTGCGTGGCCACCTTCATCCTGGGGATCTGTGACCGCCACAATGACAACATCATGTTGAAACACAGTGGACACATGTTTCACATCGACTTCGGCAAGATTATGGGCAATGCACAGAAATTTGGAAACTTTAAAAGGTAAGTCAATAAAAAGTCAAGCAGTATTTTGGAAGTAAAAAGAGTGGGGATTTTGTTTGAGCAGAAAGGAGATACAGAAAAGTATAAAGTCACAGACAATAATGTGAATTAACAAGAACCTCCCCCCCACTCTTTTATTTGCAATGATAGGGACCGATCACCGTTCATCTATACATCTGAGATGCAACACTTTATCTCATGCGGGGGGAAGAAGCCTCAGCGTTTGCATCGCTTTGTGGAGCTCTGCTGTGAAGCTTACAACATAATCAGACAGCGCTCTGCACTCATACTCAGCTTGTTGGAGCTGGTAAGACCTTTACCAAGTAACCATGGTATCACCTTCATAGCTGTATCTGAGAATACATAAAACACCTTTTCATTTGTGGTGCACATTTGTTTTCCAGATGCTGCATGCAGGGATGCCAGAACTGAAGGACTCTAATGACCTGCAATATGTCCAGAACAACCTCCGACCTCGTGACACAGACCTGGAAGCCACATCCTACTTTACAAAGTAAGTTGATGCACACAGTCTGTCTTTCTAACAAATTCCTCAAAATATCCCATATTTTATTTTTATTAATCTGATTATCAAAATAACAGCTTGTATTCTTCATGATATAGGAAGATCAAGGAAAGCATGGGCTGTGTTGCAGTCAAATTTAACTTCCTGACACACAGCATAGCTCAAGGGAAGAAACAGGAACCACTTACCAAGAACGGCATTCCTGCTCCCAGCACCAACATCCAAGAGGCAGTCATCCAGGGATACACCATCAGGGGAAAAGATGTGGTGAGGCTGCATGTTGCTCTTTGTGCTGTAGTAATTCAGGCAGAAAATGTTGACCTCAGAGCTCAGTTTTATAACGAAATGTCACTGACAAATTCTGCCTGGTCCACCACAAAGCTTTGTGTTGAATCTTAATAGCCAGGTGAGCCGATAAAACACCTGGAACTGACAGCAGGTTCACACACATTTGTTCTGGGAAGAGTAATCCCTGGTGTGTGTGTGTGTTGGGTCAGCTGTCACTTATGGCCTCATAGGCAGCAGCGCTATGTTTGGAAAGTCTTTGCCTCACTCTCCAGAGTTGAGTGAGGAGTATTACTGGTGTTTGTTGGTATTTCACTGCTCTTTGAACAGAATATACTTCCAGATGTCAGGTAAAACTGTTTGGAGGCAGAGATGGAGCACCTTGTCAGTCAGCAGAAGCAGAGATGTGTCTAGTTCCTCAGATTCAGCGTGTAGCAGTATTAGTGGCAATGACAAGTATCATTCATTCAGGTATTTACATAAAGATGGTATAAATAAAAGGTTTCCTAGCAGTTTCTCTAACAGTAAAACTATGGTGAAGAAGTTACTTGGTTAGGATTGGTTTATATAATAGAAAGCACAGTGATAGCCCATGGTTATGGCATTGAAACACCTTGAGGCCTGAGGTTAGTTTTCAAAATTGGTGAACTTTCTTGTTCCAATAAGGTGCAGGCCAGTTACCAAAAAACTCATGAAGTTAGCTGGGAATAAGCTGAACAATATTTAACACATACATGGGAGCTTCAACATGCATATTGGGTTATCAGCAGTCTCTCCTCATTTACTCACCCTGCAACCTAATAGGATAATTTGTTTCGTTAATGTGCAGATCTATGACCTGAGAGTAACCATTCATGATGGGTATCTGAACAGTGAGAAGACATTTGGGCAGTTTGAGCTGATCCATAAGCAGCTGCAGAAATACTTTATTGAATCTACACTGCCTCAGTGAGTAAAGAAAAAAACGACTTCATTTGAAGCACTGTTTTTTCTTTGATAGTAATAACCTAATTTGATACATGTCTTAACTCCTTCTCCCTTATAGGTTTCCTGGCTGGTATAAGATGTCATTCACCCCAGGCAAGAGGGTGACTCAGCTGAATAAATACCTGGAGCAGCTTTTTGAGGGACCATGCAAGGGAGTAAGTTCCTCTTATCACTGGTTGATTTAGTCAGTGATCTCTTGTTATAACTGACTCTAACTTGTGAACCTGCCTCGCTCTGCAGAATGAATACGTGTGCAGCTTGTTCCTGGATGGCCCCAACATAGTCCAAGAACCTGTGGTGACAGGTACATTTCTGCACTTGGGTGTATAAAAAAAGATTGTGAAAGATTTTATGGGGAAAAAAACATCATAATAAAAGTAATATTTAGTATTTGAGGACTACCTTTTTGCTATGTCTTGAGGAAATTCTGATGATACAATACACACTATAAGGCATGCTGTGACTAACTGGTACTGATGTGCTGATCTATTGCAGGAGCCCGTCCTCAGATCCAGCTCTACATTTCTCACTCTGACTGCAAGCTCTCAGTCATGGTAAAACACCTGAAGAACATTGTGAGTTTCCTCTACTCTTATAGTTGTATTATCTGTACCTTTTAACAAGAGGAAAGCATACATACTAAATGTGTTTTCCCTTAAATATATGCTGGTTGTCCTTTATGAACCTTTTTTCTCTTTTCAACAGAAGCAGGCAAACGGCTCTAACCCCGATGCCTACGTGGTCACGCGTCTGAGACCAGACCCTAAGCAGCGCTCCAAGAAGAAGACAAAGGTGGTCCGCAATGATGACAACCCCACCTTCAATGAACTGGTACAACTTCCATCCTTCTTATCCTATATTCATGATTTAGCACAGTCACAGCATCCTGTGGTTTTACCATTAGATTACTGAGCAGGTTTAAGAAAGTATTGCTTTTATCATTTGATAATAGGCTAGTAGTACATGTACCTTTCAGCAAGCAATTCAATTAGTTGCCATTTTGCAAAAGGAATTAAACGCCTGTCCCAAATAAACGTAGGTTGAGTTCAGCGATTGAAGCAAACAAAAGTCCAGGCGTTTAATTGAAGTTAAGTATATGGGAAGCTAAATTATATTTCTAAATGTTGTTTCATTAAAATAAATAAAAAATGTTGTACATCCACGCGTGAGCTTAATTGTTGCCACTCAAAGCTTTAAACATTTGCTCTTACTTTGTGTAATGTTCACTTTTTAATGCGGCACCGTTCTGCCTGCTGTGTGAGTCTGATGTGATCTTTGAGTGTCGAACCCTGCAGACACTGACCAGTAGCTTCCCACATACTCACTCCCAAGCCTCTTGCTCCCTTTTATGTTGCAAAGTGAAGCCTTAACAGAGCCACATACAAAGAAACAAAAGAATAATTGTTCCATAGAAATTTCAGATAACAGCAAAACTGTACAAAAGACAAATCCTCAAATTAATGGATGTTCTGAATGTAGAGTTGTTTGAAAATATCTGCCTTTCATTCACAGATGGAGTACAATGTCCCACTGCTTTATGGGATGGTGCTGGAAGTGACAGTGAAGAGCAAGAAGACTTTTGTGGCTGCAACCAACATTAAACTGGAGAAGGAGTTGCTTGACAAGGAGGCCTGGTTTAACCTCGGGAACTGTGCAATCTGACCTCAGAGAGCTGCACTGTAGGCCTGCTGCCAGAAGGGGGTGCAACCACACTTAGGGAAAGAATCAGTCCAAAGATTTCTCAGACTGTATGAGTGAGATAAACTCACCTGAGTAGAGGAACTGAGCACTCTCATTTATACCTATTTATCAGATGTAAATTAACTTCACTCCAGAGCTAAATATGCTGGCAGTGGATGATATATTTGGATGAAGTTACAAAGCTGAGTAAAAGACTCAGGAAGGAGACTGTTTACTATGTGAAGTATCATTTATTATTAGTTGTTTATTATTAAATTGCGATCAGATGAAGGACATTTGCTAATTAATCCAATGTTTGGATTTGGCCACGATTATGGATGAAGGAAAGAAACTATTACTTGTATTATCATACATGCACCTTTGTTTGTACTGTGTTTCTTCTTCTTCTTCTTCTTCTTCTTCTTCTTCTCTGCGAGTCAAAACCGTAAACGTGTGTGGTCGAGACTGTCGATGTGACAGATTAAAGAGGAGGTGTGGCCGTGATGTTAGGAGCTGCCTGCCTGATACCTGCCCAGACTCTGTGTGTGTGTGTGTGTGTGTGTGTGTGTGTGTGTGTGTGTGTGTGTGTGTGTGTGTGTGTGTGTGTGTGTGTGTGTGTGTGTGTGTGTGTGTGTGTCCCTTTGGGCTATGTCAACTGGATGTCCTTGACCAGTGGAATTGGAGGTGGGAGGCCGGAGGGTGAGTGAGCAGGGGGAGAGGGGTGAGGTAGAGTGTGTGAGCAGGATGACAACTCTGCCTCTCTGGCCTGAGGGGCTGAGTTAACACTCTGCCCCTCACTCCATCCTTTGTCTTATCCATCAGTGGCATTCAGCTATGCACATGCATGCACAAACACGCAAAGGGAGACGCCCACATGCTCACACAAATACCACTGAAAAAGCACCTCCTCACACACACACACACACACACACACACACACACAGGCTCACACTCTTTCTAGGCTTAGGCAGGTTGTCACGTTATCTTAATGCCATCCTCCTCCTGACAGGCCTGCTGACCCGTGCTCTCCTCCGCCTCATTCATAGGATTTAGTGATGAACGAGGATAGAAATAGACTTCCCCACACTGGATTTGGTTTAATAATGTATACCTCTGTGAATGCTATTTATATTTTTCCTTGCTGGGTATCTCACAGTGAAAATGCTGGCTGCTACTCTTTCATAGTAGTATTCATGTTGTATTAATGTATCCTGGCATCACTCATCAGTTTCAGACCTAATAGACGTATTGTATCTTTTGTTTTGGAACACATGATTAATCCAAAACCAACACTGTTTCTTGTGGTTGGGTAAGATCATCTTATGTGTGTTCAACTCTACCACAATAATTGCACTTGCATCAATTATTAATTCTATGATAAGAATCTAATATCCTGCTCTGGGGATTTCTCCAGCTGGGAGTTATTCTTCGTCAGTCTTTTCAGTGCTGCTGGAACCTTCTGGAACCTTTTTTCCTCTGCAGCACAGAGCGCAGGCAGTAGAGAAAAGGCACATCTATTTTCTGACAATAAAACTGGTATTTATATCTGAGGAAATGGTGCTTTTGATTTATTTATTTATTTTTGTTGTTGTTGTTGCCACATCAGCCACGCTTCCCTATCGGTTGGCATGGCGTGTGTGAGTCTGATATAGAGAGCTGTTTTTAGGCAGACCAAGCAACGACGAAGAGGGTGGCTGGATCCAGACTGCATCCGTCTCGGGACCGGAGAGGCACCCAGCGGTGGCCTGGAGATGGAGAAGGAAGGGGGAATGTGAAAAGAAATGTATGTATAGCTGCTAAATACATGCGCATCATATAGATTGGTGGAAGCCATAAAAAACTCCAGAAACCAGAGACCAACCTTCAGTAATGCTGACACTGGTACTGAAGGGAAATTCAATGATGGTCACACAAAGTCACCTGATGTAATTTAGCTCTCCATCTGACTCCCAGCCCCCCACCTCCTCTTTCTCTTTCTGCCTCTGTGGCTCACCTTTCTTTATGCTGGTGAAGGGCAGGGTGTACTGGCCCACAAACTCACTGCTGAGAAGGCCGGTCTGGTCTCGGACACAGAAGCGGATGAGGCAGAGTTCGGGGACGCTGATGCTGAAGATCATTTCAGTATTCCAGTAAGGATTCAGAGCTGTAATCAGAATCAACCAGTGCATCAAAATCAATAAAGATCAACAGGTTTAGTCAGTATAATCAAAATGTTTATATTCTCTAAACAATGAGTCAAATTATGATACAATTTTATTGTCCGTTAAATGACTAGAAAGGCGCCACTTAAGATGAAACTACATACTCTGCAGGTCCCCTCAGCTCTACTGCGTCTCTTTTGACTCATTGTTTTGGTTTTATGGCCCTCAACTTTACTGTTTCGATTCACTCATCATTTTTGGCAACTGCAGCTAGCTTTTTTCAGTATATCCAAGCAGCTAAACAACCAGATATTTTCCCTCTGGAATTAATGGAGACCAAGAAACAGTCAAAAGAGAGGCTACATTGGACTTAAAGGACCAGTCTGTAGGATCAGTGGCATCAACACCGCTCACGTCTGTATTTGACAACCTGGGTATGAGAACAGGCTCTGTGTCGGAGTGAAACTGGTAAAAAAAAAAAATTTTAAAAAAGCAAAGGGCCCTGTCTATAGCCAGGGTTTGGTTTATCCGTTCTGGGCTCCTGTAGAAACATGGAGGTTCAACATGGTGGACTCCATGGAAGGCGACCTGCGGCGTCTGTAGACAAAAACAGGTCTAAAGTAACATACCTATCAATATTATATTCCATTTCTGCCAATAGATCCTGCTGATATTACACATTTGACCTTTAAAGGGTAATGCCATGAGTTTATTGATAGTTTTTCAGGTATTTCAATTCAAATTATGTCCTGCCAGTGGCACTAGAAGAATAGTCGGGGAATTAAAAAAGTTATTACAATTCATCCTTTACGGGACTGAATGTCTACAAAATTTCATCTTAATGCATTGTTGAGATATTTCAGTCTGGACCAACGTAGTGAACTGACCAACAATTGAAATTGCCATCCATCGAGTGAATACATAATTATCAGATCCACAGTATGATGACGATATACATGACAAGTGTTACAGGTGCAATTTCTCAGTGACAAATGAGCAGAGCACGAGTAGATAACTAATGACTCATCTCTGCTGCAATTCTCAATCCATTTCTGATTCAAAACAATTTTCTCAAGTTGCTCTGTAACATCCAAGTTTTAATCTAAATCCACATTAATTTGTATTCACCAGTGACCTTATCTGTTTCATAGTGTGAAACGATTTTATGATTTATGCCCATGCATAAGTGCTCTGCACCCTCCAGGACTCTTAACTATCTCTCCCACCCTCTCTCTCTGCTCTCTCTTTGTCTCATCTCAGCAGCTGCATTACAGTGTTGTATCCCATCAATGTTATGTCTTGATATTAAGTTAATTTTCACGTTGTCGTTCTTTGAAAAAGAAGCTCCAAATAAAATGCGACAGATGATCTGTGGTGAACACCAGCTGAAATATGAGTTTGTCAAAAACCTTGGCAGCTTTAGGATTAACTTCCACACGTCTGATGACAGTTAAATTTAAGACCAGTCATTTTCATATTTATCATTATAAACAATAATAAACTAGCTCTAGTCATTTTGAATCATGGTGATAGGATACCATGATAGTTCTGAATGGAAAATATCCATCCAACTGAAACTGTAGCACTTCATCCTGTGTGCAGTGACTGTCAGCTCCATGTTTTCAATCATAGCAACAGTACATGACAGACTCCTCTTCAAAGGAAATCCACTTGTACATTTTGAAGAAACTCATCAGCACATTTGCCCTCAGAAGCCCAACAGCAGCTTACTGGGAAACAGATTTAAAAGGAAGAAAAACTGCTGTCATAGAAAACTCCCTAGATTCCAGTTTAGGTGGTTTCCATGTTTTTACTTGAAGTTTTACATTGCCCTACACTATGCAGGTAGGCGTGTTCTTAACTGTCATTTGTATTTCTATCTGCATGTGTTAGTATAAAACCAGACATTGGCATGTTTTTAGCCATGCTCGTGGCCCTTGGAGATGACAATGTCAGCCAGTCAGTCCACCACTGTGGTCCTGGATGGATTGCCGTCAGTGTTCACGGTACCCAGAGGATGGTTTTGTGATCCCCTGACCTTTCCTCTAGTGCAACCATGAGGTTAAATGTCTCGACAATGTTTGGATGGATAAACTTTGTACAGACATTCATGTCCCCCTCAGGATGAATTGTGACAACTTCATCTGGTGCCATGATCAAGTCAAAATTTTAACGTCCAATACTTTGGTTTCTGACCAAACACCAGAACAGTAATGATATTCAGTCTCAGCTGTAGTTTCTCTTTATTGCTAATTATCCAATTAAGTATTAATTAATTACTGTAAAAGACTAGCCTGTATTTTGTAATGTGTTTCTGTCTTTGAGGTAGTGTGTCCCCTCAGAGTTGTTGTAGTTAGCAGGAGTTATAGTCAGAGTCATGGGTTGATTCGAGTGAGAAAAATAAAAATAAAGAAGCTGTTGCCGGTTATTGCACTCAATGTATATTTTTTTATTAAACCTACTCAGTTAGGTAAACCCCAGACGCTTGGCTACTCTACTAAAACCATTAACTAATATGGTAAACATGGGAAGCATTATAACTGCTTAACATCAGCATGGTGTCATTGTGAGCATTTTAGCATGCTGACGTTAGCATTTAGCTTGAAGGACCAGCCTTCCCGTAGTTCACCCTCCCCTTCCAAGTGCAAAGAAGAAACTACAGTGGCTGCAAAATGCACAAAAAACACAAACAGCCCTATCTAGAGCCAGTGTTAGGTTTGTCCGTTCTGGGCTACTGTAGAAACATGGCAGTTCAAAATAGCAGCCTCCATTGAAAGCATCCTGTGGCACCTGTAGATAAATACAGTTCATTTTAAGGTAACAAAAACAAAAATTCTTATTTTCAGGTGATTGTATTCCATTTCTGCCAATATATCCTCTTAATGTTGCCTTTAAAGCACTGTTGTGGCTAAGTGCAGCCTCACAGAGCTCCTAGTATGGCTGTTGTTACTACTCCTACTCTTCCAATATTATTGCAATTAAGTCATTGTTCTACAGCATTTGGCTGTTGCCACCCCAGCACCATTTTTAATGCAAGGAATCGTCAAAGTCACAATGTCCAATGTCTTTCTCAACAATGCTGAGAACACTGAAAAAAATCATTGTCTTGCATTACTTACAGTTTTTGACCGTATGTGTGTTTTTTCTGCACGAGTCTGATGGAACCCCATGAATCTCTACTCTGACAAAGGCGTCCAGAGCTTTGCCTCCCCTGGGGACGGGTAAGTTGGACCCTCTGATCACCTGTAGATAGACACACACAGAGAGAGGCAGTCCAGATGAGCACACAGGGGGTGTATGAGAATGTAATTGGCATCAGGGATAAATAAGAAAACAGAAATTATAAAAGAGAAGAGCCAGTAAGAGCAGAGAAAAGAAGAGGGCAGGACTGTAATTACACTAGTCTGGAGAGAGGCAGGCTTATCTGCAGTCCTCTCACACTGAGTCTTCCCTTCCCCAGCTCTGATCAAAGACAAACCTGCATGTACTTATCACGACATGCCCCGCTTGGCACTGATGGAGCTTTACAGTGTCCGGCTCAAAATTACAGTCCCCTTCCTCCCCTGAAGTCATGCTACAAAACACCCTGCCTTATGCTCATTCACAGTTACAATGGTCCTTGTGAGTGTATAGATAACAGCCTGAAGTAATCATTTCATATAGATTTGCTATTGAAAAACAGACCATTGCTTATAGTTGACAGTTGTATGCTAAATAGTCTCAAGGGGAAATATTGTTTTCCTGAACACATGAATTATTTACTATTTAAAGATTGAAAACTCAACCCTACCTAAGTTACAACACTGAATGCTGCTCATGACTCGGTTCCCACTGAGTTTAGAGCAGAGTCAAGATTGCACGATTTTCCTTGAAGTGATCAAATAATACAGAATGGTGATGTGAATAAATAAAGGTTTTTCCCAGGGCATCCAAAAACAGAGCACATGCACTACATTTATAGTTCATGCATTGTGCTGGGAAGACGTAGCATGTGTGCATACCTCATTAGGAGACAATGTCTGATATGCTTTTGTTTAACTTGTGAGAGCCTACACATCCTAATATACACATCTTCTTCAGTATAACCAATAATCATAGTACTCTATGATTATTGGTTTTAGGTTTCTAAAGCAACAGATTGCATTTAAAACAGCCACTATACTGACTGAGCTAGGTCAACTGAGCAAATAATCCAAGATCCACGACTGGATCTGGTTGAAAAATACAAACACGCATTCAGCTCAAAGGTCAGTTATTGTAATTAGTTTGAGCCAATCCTTTAAGAGGGATTTTCTCTATCTATCTATCTATCTATCTATCTATCTATCTATCTATCTATCTATCTATCTATCTATCTATCTATCTATCTATCTATCTATCTATCTATCTATCTATCTATCTATCTATCTATCTA